CCACCATACCGCCCTGCCGCCACCGCCATCTTCTTCTTCTTCTTCTTCTTTTTCTTTTTTTTTTACATTCGTTAGCGATAGGTCGCGAGATAAACGACAGGCAAGAAAAAGAAAAAAAAAAAAAAACTGCTTTTCTCGTCATCCTCTTCTTCTTCTTCTTCTTCTTCTTCTTCTTCTTCTTCTTCTTCTTCTTCTTCTTCTTCTTCATTCCTCCGCCTCTCGTCTCCTCCTCGTCCTCCCTCCCCTCTCATCATCATCCTCTTCTTCTTCTTCTTCTTCTTCTTCTTCTTCTTCTTCTTCTTCTTCTTCTTGTAGGACCGTCGCCACAGCCCGCCGCCATACCGCCCAGCCGCCACCGCCATCTTCTTCTTCTTCTTCTTCTTCTTCTTCTTCTTCTTCTTCTTCTTCTTCTTCTTCTTGTAGGGCCGCCGACACAGCCCGCCGCCATACCCCGCCATCACACCATACTGCCCTGCCGCCGCCGCCATCTTGTCCATCATTTGGTAGGTCGCCATCTCGCCATCCCTCCCTCCCTCCCATCTCGCCATAGTCCGTCCCGTCTCCCTCCCTCGCCATCTCACCATCCCTCCCTCCCACATGCAGCAAACAGCAGGCAACATACATGCAGAGTCCCCAACACCCAGGACCCCCCCCCCCCCCCCCCCCCCCCCCCCCCCCCCCCCCCCCCCCCCCCCCCCCCCCCCTCACACCCAGGCAACTCGTCCCCCCCCCAAACCAGAATTTTATTGCAGATTCGGGGTCCTCTCGCCGAGCACAGGAGGACCCCACCTTCGAAAAAAAAAAAAAAAACTTCTGGGCTGTTTTTTTGCCCGCCCGGTTTTGCCCGGGCGGCCCACCCAGGCCCGCTCGGCCGGGCGGCGCCCGTACTCAGATTAAAGTTATTTAAACTAAATTAGAAAATATGAATATACCATAAATGAAGTTAAATGGACATAAAAATTATAAAAAATAATAAAATAAAATTAAAACCTAGGCTACCTGCGGGGCACCATGGGCAGCTGCGGCTCGGTAGGCACTTGCATGGTTTGCCTGCCCAGGCAACCTCCCCAGACGGCTACCGTGCCGCTCAGCATGGATTTGAAGCAGGCCATTCCAGGCCTGGTAGGCTCCAAGACAGCCTCGTCTCCGTGCTTCCAGTGGTCCAGCGCTGGAAAACAATTTCAGGGGCAGTCCAGTTCCCATTTGTTTTGTCTCGAAATCTGACCCGTCGATAAACGAAGATCCACAGCCCAGATCTTACAGGCACAGATCTGGTAAGGAATCCCGCCTAAGGGAAACTGGACACTCAGACTCAAACTGTGGTTTTCCCCTGGATGGCATTTCGCCACCATCATCACCATTGAAATTGCCTTCATTGCGAGATTGGAGCCAGAGCCTGTCAGCTCTGATGAAGTACGCACAGTGGAGGAGGTACGTTTGCTTCTTCTTCATCCGCTTATTCCTCCTCCGCCTCCTCCTCCTCCGCTTCTTTTCTCTTCTGCTTCTTCTTAGCCAGAGCCTGTCAGCTCTGATGAAGTACGCACAGTGGAGGAGGTAAGTTTGCTTCTTCGTGTATAAGAGACAGAAATTAAACGGCATAAGATACCATGAAAATTGATGAAACGGAATTAAAACTAAGTTACCATGAGAATTTGATGAAAATCATGAAAAGGAATTAAA